TTTTCAGATTTTTTTCCCATATAGGATTTTACATAATACTAAGTAGAATTCCTTATACAATAGGTCCTGGTTGATTATCTATTTTATATATAGTAGTGTGTACATGTTAATTCCAAATACCTAATCTGCTGCTGCATTTACCCAATCTCCTCACCATCCACGGAGGTGGTTGCGTGCATGCTTAGTCACTCAGTCATATCTGACTCTTTGCAACCCATGAACTGTAGCCTGCTAGGCTCCTCTGTCCATGGAATTTTTCCAGGCAAGATTTCTGGAGTGCGTTGCCATTGCCTCCTCCAGGGCATCTTCCCAATCCAGGGATTGAACCCACATCTCCTGCATTGGCAGGAAAAGTTTTTGTTTTTACCACTGGGCCACCTGGGAAACCCATGACATGGAAGTAGTTAGCAGTCCTTAATAAAAGGAAACACCACTAGACATAGTGGAACCACTGGAAGTTTCTCCCCTTTATAGATGACCTTTCCTAAGGAGCTCTAGAATGAGCCTGCCCAGGTTTCAGATCAGCACAGCTCCAATGTTGTGCTGTGTCTCATTGCCCCAGGCTGCCTGTAGCCTCCTTAGCACACACTCATCCTCTTGAAGTGAAGTGAAGTTGCTCAGTCGTGTCTGACTCTTTGCAACCCTATGGACAGTAGCCTACCAGGCTCCGGGTCCATGGGATTTTCCAGGCAAGAATACTGGAGTGGGCTGCCATTTTCTTCTCCAGGGCATCTTCCCAACCCAGGGCTTGAACCCCGGTCTCCTGCACTGCAGACATACGCTTTATCATCTGAGCCACTAGGGAAGGCCCCTTAGTACACACTCATCCTCTAAGAGTCCTTAAATTTCCATCGACATCGTTTCAGTTTTCTTCATTCTTTCCTGGTTGCATCTCATTATGAGAATAACTTTTGAAGGCAATATTAAAGAAAAACTTTCATATAGTTAAAAAAATAAAATCAACCTTGGTAATTACTGAAATTGCCAGTGAAATGTAAATGTGTCAAGATGTTCACACTGTAAGTCATATAGGAATTGAAACCTACTGAGAGAATAATATATTCAGGTTTCCCTGCTCTTGCTCGGTTAAGATTAAGTCGACTTAGTGACAGCACCCACATTATTTCTTTTTTGTCTTTTTTTAACTTTTAATTTTGAAATAACTTCAAATTTACAGAAAAGTTGCCCCCACAAAATGCCAATTACTCCAGTATTCCTTCACCCACATTTTCTCTGTGTGTCTCTCCCTCTGTTCCTCTGTGCCTCCCTCCCTTTCTCTCTCTCTGAATATATATTTTTTGAATCATTTGACAGTTATTTGGAGACATTGTGCTTCTTTACCCCTAATTTTTCCGGTTTTTTTTTTTTTTTTTTTTTTTTTTTTACCTTTTTTTTTTTTTTTCTTTTATAATTTAATTAATTTATTTTAATTGGAGGCTAATTACTTTACAATATTGTAATGGTTTTTGCTATACATTGACATGAGTCAGCCATGGGTGTCCATGTGTTTCCCATCCTGACCCTCTGTCCCACCTCCCTCCCCATCCCATCCCTCAGGATCATCCCAGTGCACCAGCCCAGAGCACCCTGTCTCATGCATCGAACTCGGACTAGAGATCTTTTTCATATATGATAATATATATGTTTCAATGCTACTCACTCAAATCATCTGACCCTCACTTTCTCCCACAGAGGCCAAAATGCTGTTCCATACATCTGTGTCTCTTTTGCTGTCTCGCATATAGGGTCATCATCACCATCTTTCTAAATTCCATATATATGCATTATTATACTGTATTGGTGTTTTTCTTTCTGATTTATTTCACTCTGTATAATAGGCTCCAGTTTCATCCACCTCATTAGAACTGATTCAAATGCATTCTTTTTAATGGCTGAGTAATATTCCATTGTGTATATGTACCACAGGCTTTCTCATCCATTCGTCTGCCGATGGACATCTAGGTCAGCACCCACATTATATACATCATCTTCCTCTACCTTTTTCTTTCTATTTACAGAGTAAAATTTTTATATTTTTAAAATACTCAAAATAATCTCAAAGTTACAGAGACGTTACAATATATAAATACAATATATATAAAATGTAAAGAATTTTTTCCTCAGTGATTAGAGAAGTTGCCCATATAATCATGATAAGCAACCCTCATCATCCTAATACTTTGGCAGGTATCCAACAAACAAGGCATTCTGCTATATAACCATAATGTGACCACCAATATTAAAAAATTATGGGAGTATCATACTTCAGTTAATTGAGTGTATCTCAGTTTCCCCATATGGTCAATTAACTTCTGGTTGAAACCTACAGTATAGAAGAAAGCTACTGACCAGTTGGTAATAATCAACAGAATTCATCATAACTGGAATAACAAACAAAGCTTAGGCACAGGACAAACTGATTCCACATGAACTAGTGGAAAATAAATTCATTTAAATATTTTATTTAATTGTCAACATGATTTTAGGCACTGGCTTGTCACACATTGGTTTTTTTTTTTTTAAGTCCTCTATAAGCACAATAGAAGTTTTAATTGAGTGTTGGTATTTTGGGCTGTTTTCTAAGACTTAAAAAAATTTACATTCTCATTCATCTTTCCATCAAGCATGCTTGGTTTGCATGTTTGGCTAATGACTCTCTATCTAAAAATTAGAAAGTAAATTGGTATAGCAACAATGGAAAACAGTACGGAGGTTCCTGAAAAAATTATAAATAGAGCTATCTTATGATCTAGCAATCCAGCTTCTATGTATTTATTTAAAGAAAATAAAACACTAACTTGGGAAAAATAAATTTAAATTCTCATTCACCTTTCCATCAGTTATGCTGTGTTTGCTTGTTTGGTTAATAATTCTACATCTAAACTTTTTTTTTTTAATTGAATCTATTAGTTGCTTTCAACCAAGGTCAATCTTGTCCCCAAGGGGTCACAAACATTTGTCAATGTCTGAAGACATTTTTGGTTGTCATAACAAGGAGGTAGGCTCCTCCTTGCTTCTAGTGGGTAGACATAAGAGAGATGGCTAAATATTCTTCAGTGCCCAGGACAAGCCCTCCACAATGAAGAGCTATCCAGCCAAAATGTGGAGAGTTGAAATTAAGAAATCTTTCTCTAAAGCAAATCGTTTCAAACTGAAGATCTTTGAACCTCAATTTAACATGCTGATAACTTAAATGCCTCGACAGCATATTTTCAAATGAATTTTTCTGCTTTCTGAATTATTATTTAAAAAATTCTGTTTAGAGCTCGTTCCTCATGGCTTATGTTGGCCACACCTGAGAACTCACAGGTGGGGCTTGTGTGGGAGGGCAGTCAATTCCAATAAGACTTGGTGAGACATCTGTTTTTGGTCTAAGTGAAAAAATAACTCATTCAAATCAAGGGGGAGGCCAATCCTAAAACATAAACTGTGCATCTATTTCCAAATGACAAATTTCTAAGTTTGTACATGCACAGGAGGCAAAAGAATGGGGTATGTTAGGTGATGAGACATTGCCACTCACAAAGTCTATCAAAGTGCTATGTATCCATAAAGACAAAGACCCCAAAGACCCAAAACAAACATTTCCCCATGGAATGGTTACCACTAGCAACAACATCCTGTTGCTAGGCAAGTTCAGGTCAGCTCTGGGAGTAAACGAGCAGCCTCCAGTCACAGAGGTATGGCAATGAATGATGTACGGCTCCCCGTGACCTATGGAGTGTATTTCAGCAGCCACAGGTCTGTTACTACATAGGTGAGTGGAATAGGTTTGTTAGAGGTCCCCACTTGATTACACTCACCCACACTTTCAAATATGAGATGGTTTGGAGGGCATCAAAAGTTGTTCTGACACAATGTCTTTTACTGGATGAAACTAAATCTGAGTTCTAGATTTAAAGCTGTTATGAGAAATCATTTTTTCATTTATCAAACAGTTAAGATGTATTCTTAAAAAACGTGGAAAAGCTTGAGAAGTCAGCGTGGAAAAAGGGTAAGAAACTTCAACCATAGTATTCAAGTTCCTAAGGCAAACTGTGATTTAGACAATCAATAATAGTTTAACTGGGGAAACAGAGTATTTTAGTAGCAGGGACCAAGCTAAGAGTAGGCCTGTATATAATAATATCTATCTTCATATTAGTAATGGGGATGCTACTTTGAAATAATGTGGTAGGCTGGGCCAGACCATCAAAGGGCTAACATAACTTACTTCCACTATTAGTCTCACCCCAATAATATCTGGGCTTTAGCACTGCAGAGTATAAAAACTCCCAGGATATACCACATGCTCTCACATTTCCATGGTTTTGTACATATTGTGCCTTCTCTTATTTGGTTGGTCAACTATCTATTCTTTACAGTACATTTTAGGTCATTTAATATAAGATAACTACAAAGAATCATGGTCACTTCCATAATGAAGCCCTCTCTGACTATCCCAGTTGTCTGTCCTTATGTTCCATTATAGTTGCCTCTAGTATAACTACAATGATGATGTCTACCTCTAAATTTTCTCAAAATGTTCTAATTTTAAATATTTGACCCCAGAAATTATGGTTTTTGGTTTTATAATATTAGCCAATATGTGGTCTCCTATGCACAGTGGGGCCTCTCTGGAATATGGGCTATAACTCTCTACCTTTTCATCATCAGTGCGTCAAATATATCTGGATACAGAGTTCTGGCTTAATATATGTTTGTTGGATATATTAGTGAATAGACAAATGCAAGAGGGTTCCAGAAAAACATTTATTTCAGCTTTATTGACTATGCCAAAGCCTTTGACTGTGTGGATCACAACAATCTGTGGAAAATTCTTAAAGAGATGGGACTACAAGACCACTTTAACCTGCCTCCTGAGAAATCTGTATGCATGTCAAGAAGCAACACTTCAAACCAGACATGGAAAAACAGACTGGTTTCAAATTGAGAAAGAAGTACATCAAGGCTGTATATTGTCACCCTGCTTATTTAACTTCTATGCAGAATACATCATGAGAAACACTGGGCTGGATGAAGTACAAGCTGGAATCAAGATTTTCAGGAGAAACACCAATAACCTCAGATATGCAGATGACACCACCCTTATGGCAGAAAGCGAGGAAGAACTAAAGTGCCTACTGATGAAAGAGGAGAGTGAAAAAGTGGGCTTAAAACTCAACATTTAAAAAAACAAAGATCATGGCATCTGATCCCATCACTTAATGGCAAATTGATGGGGGTGCAATGGAAACAGTGAGAGACTATTTTTGGGCTCCAAAATCACTGCAGATGGTGACTGCAGCCATGAAATTAAAAGACACTTGCTCCTTGGAAGAAAAGCTATGACCAACCTAGACACCATATTAAAAAGCAGAGACATTACTTGGAGAACTAAGGTCCATCTAGTTAAAGCTATGGTTTTTCTTGTAGTCATGTATGGATGTGAGAGTTGGACCATAAAGAAAGCTGAGAGCTGAAGAATTGATGCTTTTGAACTGTGGTGTTGGAGAAGACTCTTGAGAGTCCCTTGGACTTCAAGGAGATCAAACCATCCAATCCTAAGGAAATAAGTCCTAAATATTCATTGGAAGGACTGATGCTGAACCTGAAACTCCAATACTTTGGCCATATCATGCGAAGAACTGACTCATTGGAAAAGACCCTGCTGCTGGTAAAGACTGAAGGCAGGAGGAGAAGGGGATGACAGAATAGGAGATGGTTGGATGGCATCAGTTCAGTTCAGTTGCTCAGTCATGTCCGACTCTTTGTGACCCTATGGACTGCAGCATGTCAGGCCTCCCTGTCCATCTCCAACTCCCGGAGTTTACTCAAACACATGTTCACTAAGTCGGTGATGCCATCCAACCATCTCATCCTCTGTTGTCCCCTTCTCCTCCTGCCTTCAATCTTTTCCAGCATCAGGGTCTTTTCTAACTCTATTGACATGAGTTTGTGCAAGCTCTGGGAGTTGGTGATGGAGGGGGAGGCCTGGCGTGCTGCAGTCCATGGGTTTGCAAAGAGTTGGACACGACTGAGTGACTGAACTGAACTGAAGCAAATTCATAATTATTTATAGTACCTTGCAAAGTCTCTAATATTTGTCCTTCTAAAATGCTTCATGTACTTTATTTATATACTGTTTGAGATAAGCACTAAGGGTTAGAGAGATTTGGCTAGCTATTTCCCATAGCATTGATGGTCAGCGCACTTATGCCTGCTGTGGTCATCAGTGTCCTGAGTGCTCTATGTAGGGTAAATACTAGGCAAACACAATAAGAAAAGTTTTTTTCCAATGTCCCTCCCATTATCTGTGTCCTTTTGCTACCTCACCATTTTCTGGCATGCAAATAGCTAAAAATGTTACATTTTTCTCCTTGAATATCAGTTATACAGAATTAGATCAATCATAAATTTATTATATACCCTCATCATTGACCCATATATGCTATGTTTTCAGTTATTTAGCTGCAATAATTATTTTCAATAATGTAATAAGCATCCATGAACCCACCACATAAAAAAGATAGGAAATGACAATAACGTACATGTTTAACACAGAGCTCTCCAACCTTGTTTTGGAAGTTCTCCAATCTCTACCACCACCTGAATTTTATCATCCTGAATCTTGTCTTTGTCATTTCCTTGTTTCCTTTTATGTAGTGTTTTATTTCATCGCATTTACTTGATTTATAAAAAACAGAATTTTACTGTTATTTTCCTACAAAGGATACCATGTTTTATTGCAATAGGTGATTCTTTTGGCTCCTATTGATTTGCATTTTTTAAAATTTGGCTGCACCAGGCCTTAGTTGTAGCATGTGGGATCTAGTTTCCAGACCAAGGATCAAACCCTGGCCTCCTGCATTGACAGCCTGGAGTCTTAGCCACTGGACAACAAGGGAACCCTTCATATGCATTTGTATTTTTTCCAGGTTCTTGCTACTGTAAACAGTGCCACTGTGAATACTCTTGTGCATCTCTCCTGTGATGTTTGAGCAAGGCATCATCTGCATACCTAGGAGTAGACCTGCTAGGTTCTAAGGTACATGAATATTCAACCTTGAGATAGAACATTCTATTTTCCAAAGTGCTTTCACTAATTTACAAGTCAATGATCAATGTATAAGAGATTGTGTGCATCCATAATCCTTCATGGAATTATCAAACTTAATGTTTCCTGAATAAATAAGTTCAAAATGGGGCTTATTATCTTGAATAAAAATGGGGATAGTGGGCTTGTCTCTTTCCTGATTGTAAAGGCAATACTTCTGACATTTCCTTATTTAAGATGATGCTTGAAGAGTATCTCTTTAAAAAGACAAGACCTCTCTATCAGGTTCAAGGAATTTCTTTAATTTACTAAGAGGTTAAGTGTTTAATTATGTGAAATACCTATCCTAGATAAGCAGAAACATTGTATGACATCCCTTATGTGCAGAATCTAAAAAGATATGATACAAACAAACTCATTTACAAAACAGAAACAGACTCACAGACTAGAGAAAGATGTTACGGTTGCCCGCAGGGGTGGGGAGGGGATAGGCAGGAAATTTGGGATGGACATGTACATAGCACTACAGTTCAAATGGATAACCAATAAGGACCTACTGCATAGCACATGAAACTCTGCTCAATGTTATGTGGAAGCCTGGATAGGATAGAGTCTGGGGGAGAATGGATACATGTATATGTATGACTGAGTTGCTTCCTTGTTCACCTGAAACTATCACAATGTTGTTAATCGGCTTTACTCCAATACAAAATAAAAAGTTTAATAAAAAATAAAACAGAATGCATCTATAACATGATCATATGCTTTTTTTCTAATATTAATCCAGCCTTGCATGTCTGGGATACACGCCACTTGACTGAGGTATAGTAACTTCATTATTTATCAGCTACAATTTAATGATGCTTAGATTTTTTTAAATATAAGTTTTAAAAACATTGGACTATGACTGTTGACAACACTCTATAATGCCCACTTTATCTGTAGTTATGGCAGTCAGCATCTCAATTTGGAGTATAATACTTATTATGACTATACATTTCCCTTAAAATATCTTTTATTAGATTCTACAGATTGATGCATGGAACATATAAAATTGTTTTTGTTTCCATTTATTGTTTTCATATTAACTTTAAACAATTGTTAAGACTATATAGATCAATTAGATCTCTTTCCTACATACCCATTATATGTATGATATGTATGTGTCAATATGTATCATATATATGATATATTTTGCACAGAACCTTTGATATGTCAATTAGATCAAGTTTTAAAATGTGATGTTCAGATCTTTTGTATCTGTAATGATTTCATGCCTGTTTAGTCTATCAATAATCAAAAGAAGTATGCTGATATCACTAGGATAGTATTTATAAACACTCTGCAAACATCCATTTTTTAAAAAATATGTAAGGCTATTTTGTTGGCTGTAAAGATATTTAAAATTGCTATATCTTTTTGGTAAATTGAAATATTACCACGATGCCATGCTCCTTCGCAAGTGTAATTTTTCTGTTAAACTTACTTCATCTGATATTAGGTTGCAGCAGTTTCTTTAGGTTAGCGTTTGACTGGTGATGTTTTCTATCCTTCTCTTCATTTTTATCTTAAGGTTTTACATATGCTTCATCTGCACAGATGTATCAGGTAAGTTTAATTCACTGATATTTATTGTAGTTTATATAACATTTAACCAGCCTTTTGGGTGTGAATGCCTGAGTTGGCCGATCCACAATAGATTCTGTCAATGCCTTGCACTTTGCCTTGATCTTACTCGTCATGGTAGAGAACAACAAGCACTTTTTATTTGTCCTAAAGTAAGGATGAAGGAGAAGAAGCAAGGATGACTTCTAACAACTCTTTTCTTAGTAACCCCCCGCAGCTTTGCCTTGCTGCCGCTTGCCTCAGGTCAAAGCTGTATTCCTCCAACACCTGCCAAAACAGCCCCTTCACCCATGGGTTTCTCACAGAGGGGTTATGTATGTCCCTCAACTTCGTTTTGAAGGAGGGAAGCAGTCATTCTGCTACTTCACCATCACAGCATCTTATTAAAAAATATGTCAGTCTCATTAGCAATCCAAGAAACTGAATTAAAAAAATACAGCGCACCACTTGTATTACCACCTTGGCAAGCATTGTTTTAAAATGAAAATTCCCAAACTTAACAAAGATTTGACTAAATGGGCCTTTTCACACACTGCTGGTGAGTTCTAGGGAGACATCACCTATTTTGTAATGTGTATTAAAGATCTTGTTGTGAATAAATTCTTTCACACAGAAACGCATTTATATTTAATGACAAAAGTATCGCTATTCTGTTTATGATAATTAAAAACTGAAAGCAACATAAAGGTTTGTATGGGGATTTTTAACATACTTGTGGTATGTCTAGAAAGTGGAATATTCTGTAGCCATTCAAAGAAATTTTTAAAGACCAAATATGAAATATAAAATAGAGTACATTAAAGTAAAAGTGCTTATATCTTGACTGATGAAACTGTAAATGACTTAAGTTTTCCTCTTTTTACTTGAGTTTTCTAAATATTCTCTAGTGAATACACACTATTACACTGTACTCACAGATTACTTCCTTTATATCACATATCCTGAAAGTCCCCCTAACCACGGAAGATAGAACTAATATAATCAACAACTTGAAGTAAAAGACTAGTGGATTAGCCCTCCAGCACCTTTTGCATTTTAACCGGTAATTTTGTCTTGCAAAAGAAGACACTCTGACAATGGTGGACATACCAGGTACTTTCAGGCTTCCCAAGTGACGCAGTGGGTAAAGAGTCTGTCTGCAATGCAGGAGATACACGTTAGATCCCTTGGTTGGGAACATCCCCTGGAGGAGGAAATGGCAACCCATCCCAGTATTCTTCCCTGGAGAATGCCGTGGACAGAGAAGCCTGGCAGGCTACAGTCCATAGGGTTGCAAAGAGTCAGACACGACTGAAGCGAGCATGCATGCACACACCAAGTACTGTCAGGATATAGAATAACCCTCACATCTCTCAATCAATTCATATGTCATATGCCATCTTTCTACTCAGGAGAGAACATATCTCTACGCCCCCCCCCCACAATTTCTCTCTCAAAATGTGTGTATATACACACAATTACGTACATAAATCATGCATTTATCACACACACACACAATGGGAGACACAGAAGGGGAGACAGAGAAAGGGGAAGACAGGGTAGTTCACCCTGAAATTCACTGGCTGTAAACTTGGCACCAGAGAGGGTGAGAAAGCAAGTCCTGCTCAGATAAACATTGAGTACACGTCTTCTATGATTCCTATCATGAGAGTCTTGACTGAAACACACCTGCCTAGAACCAGGCATTCAATCACCACCACTCTTTTGGAGTAGAGGTTCTTTGGGCCCTTTAATAGGTCCATGGGGCATCAGAATGTTCACAAAATACTAAAATGATGTTAACTAATGATTTGAAACTATTATAACATTGTTTTATCTTCTACCTTAAATGTATTCATCTTATTCACTAGGAATTTCATTTTTAAAAAGAGGTAATTTTGTACAACCTGGAAAGAAAGCATGAATTTCGATTAACTAATCCAGTTACTCAGTTGCTATGCTTTGGGCATATCTACTACAGAGAACTGCTAGGCATTTTCCTTCCTTTTGTAGCAATATAGCTGAATCTAGAGAAGCAATACATTAAAAGAAAAGGGTGAGGGATGCAAAGAGATAATCCATCCAGGGGCCTTTATCCCATGGCCACCACCCTTAGCCAGGCCAGGATCATTTAAGATGGGACAACTGTAGTGAATGCTTGAGGACTTCTGCGAGGCTAGTCTTGGTACCCTCCATCTTTCACAAGCTGGCCAGATTTACCCTTTGCAAATGCACCTCTGATTCCATTACTCCTCAGTTTAAAGTTCTTGAATGACCACCCATTGCCTTAGGATAAACTACAAATTGCTAATTTGTCTTAGAAAAGATCTGACTTCTGCCTGCATCTCCACTGTCCATTTACCCCATTCTGCCCGTACCAGACTTACTAGTTAGCTCCCAAAGTGCACTTTGCTCTCTCATGTCTTCATCCTTTTCTGACTGGTGATGGCTCGTGTGAGAAGAGCTATAATTGAGATCTGTATTAGCTATGAGAGTACAGAGTGTGTGCATGCAGAAGCTGAGAAAAGCATCGGAAAACAGGTAACACTTGAGAGGCTCTTAAGGCTCCTGTAAACACTGTACTTAATTCAATGCCAACATTTATGCAAAGATTCGCAGACTAGAAATTAAATAACATGTATTTCAGTTTCCTTATTATATAACATAAGGAGTTAAGGTCAGTGCTGTGAACATTTTCATCCAGTCAACATTTATTTAAGGAATATTTATCAAGTGCCGCTAAAACGCCAGATACTCTTTGTAGGTCCTGGAGACATAATGAAATGTTGAACAAGAGGCAGTCCCTGATTTCACATATCTAACACCCTAGAGTAGAGTCAACCAATTAACAAATAGGCAACATGAACCAAGTAGTAGATTATTAAGAAGAAAAACAAAACAGTACCAGAAGTATGTATGTGTGGAGAGTTGCTGTTTTATACAGGATGTTAGGAGGTCGCATTTAAAAGAGACCTGAATGAAGAGAAGAAAGGAGCCCTGAAGCCCTCTTGGAGGTGTGTTTAAGGCCATGGAGATGTCAGTTACTCTGAGCCTGAACATATTCAACAGGCTGAAGAGCAGCGGGGAGAACAGGGAGTGATGAGGAGAGAGGCGGCTGGGGTCTGATCCACTCTAGGGCCATGCAGTCCTTGGAAAGAACTTGAGTTCTATTCTAATGATGAAGGAAAGTCAGAGGAGCATTTTAAAAAGTAGAGTATCTTGATCTGATTATTCACCCATGAATAGTTTATAAATGGCAGACCCTGGGGGAAGAACTAGGATGGGTGTATGTCCAGGTTTTCCAGGGGCAGTCTTAGTTTATATGCACGTCCTTCACTCTCCAAAGTAGGAAGACAGCCTATAATTCATAGAGAAATGCAGAGCTATGAAAGTAAGATCTACTTTATTGAGAAGTGAGCTAATGGCTCACTTAGATGGAAAATTCCTCCTCTGTATAGTGAGGGAGACTGACTGCACAGTGTGACTTCACATACCTCTGGTCAGACACTCTACCTGCCATCAAGCCTTCAATAGAGGCTTAGGACAGCTGAAACCAGTCTTAAAGAGACCATGGATGGTTACAGTATGCAGAAAGAATTAAGTGTTACTGAATGCAGACACTGCACTAATGCCTTGATTTTTCCTCAGAGCCAGGCACATTGTTAGGCATATATCAGATCCTCACTCAGTATTTTCCAAAAAATGGTTAAAAAAACTTGAATAACTTCAGACTCTGAAACTTAAAAATACAAAAGTAGGGTTTTCTTCACTAATTTTATTAGGCTGATACAGTATAATAACTGAGGGATAATATGTAACATAAAACATTTTACTGCATTCTATCATTTTAGTGAAGTGTGACTTATATTACATTGTTTTTGTACCTGGTATTTCTGTCTATAAATGTGCTTAATTTTTCAATGAATAATTAATAAGTTAATGAACCACATCATTTCTTAAGACATAAAGCTAACTGCTATAGTTATAAAATTACTCAGGTGACATTTTATTATGGAAATTATAACACTGTGATTTCTCTCCTTACTGTTACATGTGTGAGGCCACATTCAATGGTTGTTCATAATAAGTGAAATAGTCGTATTCAGAAATAGTCTGTGCTATATGTGGTCAAAGTTTAGTCAAATGTTAAACATAACAACAGTCATGGGTTTTTACCGACTGTCTCCATAATGTAATTTTGTTTCTTTATGTTGGCAATCCCCATCTGTTCTTAGACTATAAACTTTGATCTAGGTTAGAAGGTAAAGGAGCTCCTCAGATAAAATGCTTAAGATATTACAGAACCAGTGACAACATACCATTGTAGTTTTCTTCTTCCACTACTTTTTCTTAATTAATGTCATTGACACCTGTTCAGAGTGAAACATGTCTCTTTGCAAAGACTCTTGAGATGAACAGAAAAATCAACAAGAAGACCATGGGCTATTTAGCTTTTGTAACACTCCCAATTTAGGCTACTCATCCATTAACATTGGATTTAGAAAATTTGCTGGAATGACTTTTCTTTTGATAAAAAAAAAAGACACTTTCCTCCTCATATTCTAAAGTCCAGTCCTCAGGTTTTTTGCCGTGGTCACTCTGTCCACCCCTCCACTGACGTGCTTTCACATACAAAGGTGTTCATCGTTATTCAGGGCTGGCTATACAGTGGGTACAGTACAGGCTATTTTTCTGAGCTTCTAAAAGTAATAAGTTTGCCTTGAGAAAATGGATGAAACCCCTCGTGTCTATAGTGGATGCTCTGGTGCTGTTTCAGGTATGTTTCAGGTATGTTTCAGGTATGGCAGGGTAGAACCAGCTCTGATCTGTGGGCTAACATGAGAAACTTGAGATTCTAGCTTGATTCTCCCCCTGGCTGGCTATGGGACTTTGCATGAGTTATCGGAGTTCTCAGATTGTGTCAGCTCCCTCATTTCTAAAATAAAAAGGATTGCAATGCATGATCTCTAAGGTCTTTCCTAGCTTTGAAATTTTTTTTAATGCTCTATTTAGTTTAGAAATAGAGGCCTTTCTTGTGGCTTTCTTATGACCTGGTGCTTTAAACCCTTTTGCCTTGCAGCTGAGGCTCTATAAAGTTAAATGTTCATTCTTGCGTATGCCATGGTTTATTAGAAATGAGTGTCAGGAAATGTGGAGAATCCTATATTTAACATCTCAGAATTGGATACTAGTTTGATATAAATAGCAAGCTGTTATCCAAGTAGATTACAATGGATTTACTATCAAGCAAATTAAATCACTGGGGACAGATGTGTTTTTAGAATTGTCTGAGACAATCAATCTGTGAGGAGAAAATTTTTGGTAGCTGCCAAGCTGTCCTGTATAATTCAAAGATATGTCACCCAAGCACTTCCTTTTCGGTGGCCAATAGAGAGTGTTTGCAGGGAAGGAATGATCAGAATAGGGCAGGTGTATGCTATTCTAAATTGTATACTACAGGCTTTTGGGAAATTGTGAAGCATTTGGAAGAATGAGCAAGAATCAGTAGAAAGTAAAACAGGAAGAAACATGATGGATAACAAAATGTGCAAGAAAGAGACAAAGGAGTGGGAAATAACTGAAAGTCATACTGTGTGGTTAATGAAATATCTGAATTTTATGATAGAAGAAAATGAAAGCAAATGGTAGGAGGGAACTGCCCAAGGTCATGAGCAAGAAAGATGATCTGAATGCATTAGAATGGAAGGAAAATGGTGGAGTTGGAGAACACCTGTGATGAGAATGTGGTAACTGCACAGAAGTAAGAGGGAGTAAGAATATGAATGTTAAAAAAAGAATACATATAGAATCAATATATGTATGGAAAAAAAGATACTTTTTTTCAAAATGATTTCCCAGTGAGACTGACAAAACTGGCATTTTGTATCAATGCTGCAGTAACCAAAATTTAATGACTGTTTAGTTAATGTTTTTTCTCCCTTGGAGAAAAGTGTTATTTCAATAAAAGATGTTTGTCATTATATTAAAGATCTAAACATGAAAAATAAAAATTTAAAAATACTAGAAATAATTATAGGAAAATATTATGATCCTAGGAAGTGAAACAGTTTCCTAAAACACAAGACTGATATATTTTCCTTCATAATTATAAACTTATCTATATAAAAATATACTGTTAAACATAAAAAGACAAGAAAATGTAAGTTATTTGCAACATGTATAACAGACAATTACTATTCAGAATATATACAAATATTTCCTACAAACCAATGGAATAGACAAATTTTTTAAAGGTTCATATAAAACTAAATAGAAGATATGTATGAATAAAAGGTTTTGTAAAAGTGCTTTGCCAGTGAGATTTGGGTAATTGCTACTAATGATAATAGGTCTTCAAATGAAAGACACGGTAGTCTTTGCCCAATGAGAACCTTGTTTGTTCTCTGACCCAGATTATAAGATTCTATCACTAATCAGAGTCATTTGTATTTGACAGAAATGGAGTCAGCAAACTTATTCTGTAAGGACCAGAGAGTAAATATTTCAGGCTTTACAGCCACTAGTTTCCCAGTGCTCCTATAATAAATTACCACAAACTTAGTGGCTGAAAACTACACAAATTTGTATTTCAGATTTGGAAGTCACAAGTCCCAGAATCCCAGTGTTGGCAGGGCTGTGCTCCTCTTGGAGGCTTCAGGGGAGAATCCATTTCCTTGTGTTTTCCAGCTCCAAGACCACCTGCATTCCTTAGATTACAGCCCCTTCTTTCCTCTTCAAAGACAGTAGCACAACATCTTGATATCTCTCTCCTCTTCTGACCCTGATACTGGGCTCACCCAGATAACCCAGGATGATTTTTCCATCTCAAATCCTTAATCACATCTGCAAAGTCTCTTAAGCCATGTAAATTAACATCCACAAATTCCTAGGATTAGGACAAGGGTATCTTTGGAGGCTATTATTCTGTCCACCATGTGGGTCCTTTGGTCTCTTGTTGCAATTCCTCAACTCTGACATTGCGGTAAAGCAGCCACAGACAACACGTGAAATCAGTCGGTGTGGCTGGGTCCTTCTAAATCTCATTGACAAAAACAGGATTTTCAGAACTGTCCCATGTGCTCTCATTTGCAAACCCCGGGAGGATCCGCTGGAGAAGGGTTAGGCTACCCACTCCAGGATTCTTGGCTTCCCTTGTGGCTCAGCTGGTAAAGTATCTGACTGTATTGTGGGAGACCTGCGTTCAAACCCTGGGTTGGTTAGATCCCCTGGAGAAGGGAAAGGCTACCTACTCCAGTATTCTGGCCTGGAGAATTCCATGGACTATACAGTCCATGGGGTTGCAAAGAGTCGGACATGACTGAGAAACTTTCACTTTCATTTTTCACTCTCAAGGGTAGATTAAAAAAGCAGGAACAAATCTAACATAAAAAATTAGAGGTTTACACAAGCATTCAAAGAGCCGAAAAGAAGGAAGGAAAGCGAGGACTCTGCAGGCTTTCAGAATATCTAGAAGGGCAGGAGTCCCAAGGAAAGAGATGATCTTGACTGTCTACAGTGTCGTCGCTTTGGTTTGTATTTTGGAAGAAGCCTGGAAGCCGTGCCTGCTCAACCTTCACTCACACCTGCCCTCAGTTATGCTGAGTTGGTGGAATATAATTTCCTGGGTTTTAGCTCCTTCCTGAGAGAGCTTTGAAGGGAGTGGGTGGTACTCCGTATCATTAGATAATACCTGACAAACATCATGAGCTTTGGTTTAAAAAAAATTATAATTTCAAATAAGCATGGAGAGATGCCATGAAATGGCAGATTCATCAGAGAAATACTTGTTGGAAAATGAATGGAATTTTCAGCCAGACTCTTTTTTCCCAGTTCCGCAGTTTGGCTGATTATACATTATAAGCATGTGACAGTGTCTGTCTTTGTTTTCACCAACTGGACATAAGCAATCTGCTCTGACAGCTTTGAGATCAGCCACAACTAGACTTCAATCCTGTCTCTACCTCTTTCTATCTATGTGACCTCGGTAACTGCCTTGGTCTCACATTCATCAGTAAGATGTTTGTGACAGTATCTATCATATGATTTGGATAGGAAGAGAAGAAGATAACGTATGTAAAGTGCCTGGTATGAAATTGATGCTAAATAAATAACCATTACCATTCACACTTCCTTTATAACTCATGGGACTGAATATCTTAGAGACTTTTAAATAAAGGATGGGTTCTCCATTAAATATTCTTACTAGAGAAAATTCCTCAATTTTTTTTTTTTCTTTTTCCTTCACTGACTCCCCTTGCCCCTAGCTGTTCTTATCCCACCCCTCCCTCAGGTACAGTGGCTTACCTATTTCTTTGATATCTGGGTGATAAGCCACTACCGGGTTGACTGAATGGACCAGGTCATCCTTGAAGGAGACGGAGGTCTCATTTTGGCTTCAAGTCCCTGACACATCGTCCAATAAAGTTTTACTGTCAATCAAGCTTTACACTCAGTCTAGCTGAAGTCTGATCCACATTTGATTCAGTTTTCCTGTACAGACCCTGTGATGAAGACACTACAGGGGAGTGGTGAGTGGTACAATTCATACACCAAACTCTACCTTGTACTTTAAACAACTGCCTTGAGACATGAGACATTTTCTGTTTTTATATTGGTTAATAATGACTTTCGTTTAAAAGTTTATTAACATAAAGCTAAAAAAATGCTTTACGTTCTGATTATTCAAAGATACATAAAAACTACACCAAAAATAATTGTTCGGTTCTTTAAGAAGGTGTGTGTCTTTATAACAATTTGATGGATGGTTGTAATACAGAGTTGCAATAGCTTATGATGTAGAAAGGAAAGCTACCATGTGAGAATATGCATTTATGCATTTTACTTCTCTGATACATTACACATTGTGTCAACCAAAGTTTCTACTTTTGTTATTCTCCTTATAGGTGAGAAAAACTGAAAATACACAACTTGCCCAAGGGTCTTACAATTGATTGTAACAGTGTGCTAAGAACTAGCCGGAGATAGAAACTGAAGAAATACTCAGCTTTGCTGTTTATGGTCCTCATCCTACATCCAGCTCTTTATCATCATTTTTGGGCTAGGCCCAGAAAGGTCTTTCACATATCCATGCCCAGGAGCTCCTGACAGTCTCCTGCACAAAGGAGCCCTGTGGTGAGTTGGAAATCAGCAGCAAAGCTAAGCTGAGAAACCCCCCACTGCCAATCAGCCCAGAGGCAAGGTTAAGTGAAGAATGTGCTGTCAGCCCCTGGCATTTCCCCTGTAGAGGAAACCCGGTGCTGGCTAATAGAGGCCAGAGGTCTGCATGGCCTTAGGAAGAATTCGGGGGTTGATGATTGAGCAGTAGAAGGGAGAGGATCTAGCCTAAGGGAGGCTAGTAAACCTCTCCTATGAAGCAGAAAATCAGCCGGAACAACCCACTCATAAGTAATAAACTGGCATTAATAACTTAGCCTAGCTGACTCTGCATTACCGTGTACATTCTCTTAAGCTAACTGAAAGATGAGCTTATCTGTGGGCATATCTACAATTATACATTGCCTACAAAAGAATATTTACAAGATCTATCTTTTTGCATTTATTTGGCGTTAATATGTAGCTAAGAATCAGTAAGAACCAACACAAGAGTGTTGAGAAAAATTAAAACTTATGTTGCTGGGCCTTTATAAGATTTAACTTTCTCTCCCAAACACTGAGTTGAAGATATGGTAGCAGGAGTTCTTCCCCCGAATTTCTAACTTGAGGCAGTGTACTTCAACCAGTTAGCATACCAAATCAGGCATCAACCAGAATCCTAAAGCTGGAACTATGATTGGTTTTCTGTAAATTAATTTCAGAGTCTCGAGCTCCTCATGAGAAATATAGAAATCTACCTAATTTATAAGGTCACTGGTCATTGAAAAGGCCAAATTATAAAGGAACTGTGAGAACATTTAGAGAATTTCTAAAGTGTTAGAAAAGGGTAGGTTTCCTCATAATAGAAATCTACATTAAACTGACTTACGCATAGACTGGTTAGGTTGAAAATATGCAGGTAATGCAATCCACAGATGAGTTATTGCTTCTGAGGGAGACTTCCAATTTAGATTTGCAAACCCAAATATGATGCAAGAACACTTTCTAGATGGATTGAGAATATCGTAAAAGGCCATGAGCAGATATAAAAGTAAACTGCACTTGAGTTCATTTAGAGGGAAGTGGCTACAGGGTGCCAGGCATTATGGTATTAAGCTCGATTTTATTCAACATCTTTATTCATCATCCAGAAGATGAGCGAAACAGCACATTAATTAAATCTGCAGATGGTGCTAAACAGAGAGACATTTCAGAGTCCATTGTGGGCAAAGTTAACAATATAAAAAGACTCGATTTAAAAGGATGCAGAGCAGAACACTAATGAGTATTACTGTTGGTACAATAAAGGTTCAAAGTACACCTGAAGTGGAATATGAAATGCTGCTAAAGGCCTGGAACAGGGTGATAACAATTAGTGATGATAAGGACACAAATTAAAATATTATTGGCAGTAAAAAAGAGCTGTGTAACTCACTTTCTGTTTTTTTTCATGTCATGTTATTCCTTTGCTTGACATGCAGACAGAATTCACTTCACAGACGAGGCACGCCAGATGAGATCAGGGTGTATAGTCGTCATGTGGGACTAGGAGCATAAAGGGACCTGACTGGATGGCCCCTCAAATGTGTATTCTCAGATGATCTCACCAAGCCAGCTCCTACTGGCCTGGTAAGTCATGGACTTCTTCCTTCTAGAACCTTGCTCCACAGTTTACCCTACATAAAGCTACCAGAATCACCTTACTCTAACACTGACATACCATGTCCCTGTTGAATAAGTGAACAAATAGCTCTTAATTAAGACCTCTATCACTTTTTTCCTCATTTAAAAAAAGTTAATATAGTTGTCAGAGTCTAAACAAAAACTATTCAATGCTCCTCCAACTACTTAAAAAAAAAATTGTTATATGCCATTTCCTCTAATTTTCTTCCCATACCTCTTAATTTATACCAGGCAAGGTCCTAAAAAGAATTAGATGCTACACTCAGAATACTTCAAGGGGGTTTAATTACAAAGGGGCTTCTCATAGAGGTATAGGTTTCAGGGAACCATGTATTTGGTACAGTTACCAAACTTTAATGTGAGGTTGACTATCAGGCACTCTAGATCTGAAGGGATGAGAACCTCTCAGAACCTAGAAGTCATGTAAGGCGGACAGCCTTGAGAGAAGTGGTGACGTTTAGTTCTGAGCATCAGGCAGCTTCGGGACTTTCCTGGTGGCTCAGATGGTAAAGAATTCACCTGCAATGCAGGAGACCTGGGTTCAGTCCCTGGGTTGGGAAGATCCCCTGGAGAAGGGAATGGCTACCCACTCCAGTATGCTTGCCTGAATTCTATGGACAGAGGAGCCTGGTAGGCTACAGTCCATGGGGTCACAAAGAGTTGGACATGACTGAACGACTTTCACATACATACATATCAGGCAACCAGAGACAATTTTGGTGGGAATGAATGAAGGTGATGGATACCTTGATTTCACTGTTGTCCCTCCACCCAATCACCTTTTAGAGCTCTCCACTGACCTAAGCAAAGCAGAAGCCAAAGAAAATAGAGGCCATTCACTTGGCCTTTATAGGTCACCCTCCCATGGCAGGGGAGAGAGCAGAGAAGGGTGGAGGCGCCAAGTGGCAGGTACCTGGCATAATATTCTCCCCTAACACGTTGAGAAGATAAGAAGTTGGGGATGAGGATACAAGTAAGTGGGCCATCCTAACTATATCCTAGCTTCCTCCTGCCTGAGAATATAATCAACAGGACCTATTAGTACTTGATTGTTTTAACAAAATGTTGTCAAATTCGGCCAAAAGTTTGTTCTGTTACAACATACTTAAAATGCACAGAACATATAAAAGTATATATGCAATGCTTGGGTAACTCATAAAGAAATACAAATGAACACCCAGAACCCATAATATCTTAGAGAGACCATCATCCTTGCAGTGAAGTTGCTCTGTGTACCATCCCTGGCAACATCCTCCAACATTCACCAGAGACAAACACTACTCTGAATTGTTTCATTCTCTTGCTTTTCTTCATAGAGTTGATTTTAACCCTAAACAACATATTTTTTTTCTAATATTGCCAGTTTTTGAACTTGTTATGAGTAGTATCATATTAATGGGACTTGTTTTACAATCAGTGTTCTGAGATTCATCCATTTTGGTGCACAGAACTATTTACTTTTACTGTCATAGAGTGTTTTATCATATGAACTATTTCATATGATTTCACAACTACTTATTTATCCACCTTTGATGGACACATTTCACTTATAGTTTATTGCTGTTGGAAATTAAGTAATTATGATTGTCTTTATTCATGTCTCCTGGTACACATGTACAAAAGTTTCTCTAACATGTACTACCTAGGATTAATAATACTGGGTGACAGAATATGTGTATTTTAAACTTTATTACATAATTCCATAATTTTGCATCGATTTATTCTCCCAAGAGTAGCATTTAAGAGTTTCTATTGCTTCTCATCCCCACCAACTCTTAACTACATTATACAAATTTTTGAGCCCAGGGTGGGATGTGTGTACTTTTTTGTTTTGTGTATACTTTTTAAGTTTTCAGGTGTGATTGCTAATGAGTTTGAGCATCTTTTTATTCTTGTATCCTTCTATGTGAAATATTTTTTCATATTTGTTATTTGGGGGATATTATTTTTTTTTCTTAAATTGTGGAAGTTGTTTTTATGTTCTGGACATGAGTATTTTGGTGGTTATGTTGTAAATATCTCCTCCTTGGTTGTACATTTAAAGCTTCCTTTAATACCACTTTTCAGAACCAGAATTCTTAATTTTATTATAGTTAATTTTATTGATTGTTTCTTTTCTGGCTTATTCAATAAGTCTTTCCCTTTCTCAAAAGCATAAAAAGAATATTCTATATTGTTTCAAAAATTTAAGTTTTGCCTCTATATGTAAGTCTTTAATCCATTATATGCATTCTTTTCAATAATAATGTTTTTCTTGGCAATTCTTCCATATAAATTTTAAAATTTTTGTTGAGATTATGACTAAAACTGCAATGAATATTTAGATAGAATTGGAAAGAATATCATTAGGCTATTTAGCCTGTCTGTTTAGTAAAATTATATTTTCTATCCCTATTCTAGCAGCTAGAAATGCAAATGGCTTTTTTTGACACTTACTGATCTTTCTTATAGTAAAATAGTCAGTCTCTTATTAATTCAGACAATTTATTGAAAATTTGGGGTTTTGAATGTAGGAGAAATCTTTTAAAAATAGTTTTATTTCACTCCAATCCTTATAATTTTGCTCCTTTTTCTTGTTTTATTATGCTGTTTAGGAGTTCCAGTATTTTGAGTTAGATGAGACAATCATAGACATGCTCATCTTGTTCCTAAAGTGAAAAACAATGCATCTAACTTTTTACCATAGGGTAGAATTTTTACTCTAAGCCCAATATTTTGAGACTGGGACTTTATAATTAATCTACATCACTTATATGTCAATTCAGGAATTACTTTTGTTGAGAAATATTGACAGTTAATATTGCAGACTTGTAGCTCAGTCAGTAAAGAATCTGCCTGCAGTGCAGGAGAGCCGGGTTCAATCCCTGGGTCGGGAAGATCTCCTGGAGACGGAAATGGCAAGCCACTCTAATATTCTTGCCTGGAGAATTCCATTGACAGAGGAGCCTGGTAGGCTACAGTTCATGCGATTATAAGAGTTGGACATGACTTAGCAACTAAAGAGAGAGAGACAGAGATTGCAGCAGTTGGTGCTACTGAAGCCTAAACTTAATCTTATGAATCAGTTCAGTTGCTCAGTAGTGTCCAACTCTTTGTGACCCCATGAACTGCAGCATGCCA